TATTTATTAAGCACGACATTTAACATAACAGACCTATTTTATTATTTATTTTATATTTTTTATTTATTAAACAGGACATATTGATATTTTATTAAAATTGTAATTTTTTTGACAATACCTATAAAAGTGAATTATAATATTAATTTTATAGAAGTAAATTTGTGTATTATGTAAATTAGTGTAATCCAGCGCCGAAACATACCTCGCGCCGAAATGGTCGTGCCAAAACGGCCGCGCCGAAATGTCCGTGTCCGATGATATTCTGATCACACGTTCTAAATTACATCAGATTAAAGCGTGTAGGTAAACGCGCGCATGGGCACCGTCATCACGACGCGATATTGTATACTCATTATACGATTTACACCTGTACGATTATTTTCCAACAATAAATATACAGCGGAAATACGGCAGAGGGAGGTGGGGAGAGAGGGTACTCGGTAAACCGTACGCATTTACGGTATAACGCCACCATGTACACTTTGGTTGTGCACGAAAAATGTGTTTATAAAGTGTTTATGAATAATAACCACAACAAAAACCGATTTTATAATTTGTGGTACTCGTATCAATAACAAAATAATACCATGTAAGTACTTACAAAACATAAGCTTAAGATCAGTTATTCTCAAAGTGGATATTCCAGGGAACAATCACAAAGGTTCCTCAATATATATGAAAACCTAACCTAGAAAGTTTTCCTGTACTGTATCTTTGAAAAAAAATAAACACACAAACGTCTTTTACATTTTAAACTGGTATACATACGCTATCATTATGCGATGGGAAGACAAAAGTGTAGGAAACAAAATTCCATGGCCTATGGAAATCGGTTGGCACTAACGATGTTTAATTAAAAAGCGTACGTGTAGGCACTCCGGAATCGGATACATTTTAAGCCGTAGAATTACACGAGAACAAACTATTTTCTAAGGGTACCGTTGTTGTGGAAGTTTAGGAACCATTGCTGTACATACTCCGTTGAACGTTAATCATCATATAACTGCCGTATTCTAGAAACTAAGTTTTTTAAAATAAAATAACAACGTTCGGAATCTAAGGTTAACGGTCGAGCACCGAGTGCTTGGAAGCGTACACTCTTTCGATGCGATCGATTCTCCTTTTAATGCGATCAAATTCCATTTCTACATTTTCGCGCAGCAATCCGATTTAGTCGTTCGAAACTAGCGACTTTTTGATGTAACATTACAAGACTACCACGTTCGGGTAAGATAGATGAACGATATGCATTCCCTGTTGCTTTTGAAGGTTGAAAAAATTTACACTTCAACCCTGGTATGAGTACCAGATCAGTAACTGGTGCATTAATGCTTTATTCCCGACGGAACATGTTCTACGTATGTGTGCTCAAAAATTCTTATAATTTAATACCCTGCCGAAATCTGGTATGACGCGTTTTTCCTTTAAACCTTTCCTCCGAAATAGTTTTGAATCTTTTATTATAAAAATAAGCATAATATAATATAATATCTTCGTTCACATAAATATTTGAAAAATGTCAACTATTTTTGTCATTTATTTAGGTACGAGATTTTCGTACGAATATTAAAATATGATTATATACATACTACAGCATCGTCGTATAGATAATTAACAGTTCAGTATTAGAAATCCTGTCAGTGCTTCAAACGTTAATTGTATACTCAATTCTAAATATTGCTTCTGCGGACAACCAAAATAGGAATCAAACAAGAAATACTCAATATTTAGCATCGTTGACGGGTGAATTCTTAATTGAGCCGTCTAGTTTATCTTATATCACATATGTACCATACATATAAAAATATACTTTTACATGTCGTTGTAGATATTGACAAAGAGTAAAAAAAATTGATTTTTAAGAACTGTGAAGATTATTCATTTATACAAAACAGAATATCTTGGCTATCATAGCATATACAATACATTGTCATAATATTATTATTATACGTATTAGTCGGGAATTTAATCTTCCGTGCGAAATTGGACATAAACACAAGGGGCATGTCCAAGTATCGAATTTAATCGGATTATATCGTTTACAAGCGACCGAGAATATTTCCAATACACATTTTATTGTATTAATGACGATATGGTACGCAGGTGTCACGTTATGTTTTATGATTATGCATTTCGTCATACAGACCGAGAAATATGATAAATTGTCAACTTTCAATTGCTGCAAAAAAACAATTTGTAAAATTTAGTTGCAAATCGCATTTCTGGAACAGTTATTACATGCTTGCGCAACATAGCTGACATTCTTTTATAGGATCCTAAATGCTTGTATCTTACCAACTCCCATCGTTCATACCTCAAAATTGCGTAAATAAATAGCTTAACCTCTTTCGTTCAGTTTTTTATCTACGATAAAATTTCTGATAGTTCTGTTTAACTGCAATTTCATCTGCCTGACGTCAATATACGGAGCGTGAATGCTTTATACAAAAAACATAAAAAAATATTTATAATGCCATACGGTGTTGTTCATACGTTTTCTTTAAGCTGCAAATGCCTGCAAGCACGACGTGATAGCACTTTAAATTATTTATAAAATAGACTTAGTGTACGCGTTAACTCTGCAAATAAGTGCTGTAAGAAGTTCTGACTAAGTTATCGAAATATAAAAACGTGTTTTATTGAAAAAATATTCACCGTTTTAACAAAGTGTTTTTCTCGCATCAATCATCGCAGTGCCTACTGAATACGAGTGTATTATAATGTGAACGCATTATTGCAATCGTTATCACATTCAAGAGCTGAGTTCGAAAAATAAACATGTTTTTTTTCACAGCGGAAAAATTATATCAATAAACCGTTTTCGTGTACAGAATCACCATCAGACGATAATCAAATACTAAGTATATTTTGATCCGTGTAATTTCTTACTGTATCGAGTTAACGGTGACAATTGAATTGTTATAAAATATGCATTCAGGATAGTACAACAAACGTCGTTAATACCGCAAAGCCACACCGATTTTATTCTTAAGATAATCTAAACGATGAACAATGACAATTTTTCAAAATTAATATTTAATAAAATTATTGGGTAAAAAATGTTTTCATCAGAACTATACGCTCGAGTGAGTCAAAACGGTACACAGTACAGCTGATATAACGGGTACGTGTGTGGAGTGTTGACCCGACATATTTTTTAATTAAATTCATTACCTGTGTTTTATATTAATTGACCGGATTTATGTTGTAGCATATTATAATAACGTTTTATCAAGTTATAACATAACATAAAAAAAAATAAATATTTTACAACATGTTTTTATTGTACTCGACGGCGAAAGATTTTTATTTCATTCCTAATTATTAATTGAATAACATAATATAAAAGATAAATTATAATTATTTGTTGAAAATAATTCCGTGTTTTCATATATTGATATAACCAGAAGTTTTATTTATTTTGCATTTTTAACGGTTAATTTAATATTATTTTTTCGACACTGAATTTGTACTTACGTGTATGTAAACGGTTTTTTTTTTTTATAAATCTGAGTCTTGGAGTGAAAAGAAAATTCATGTTCACGTACTATTATATAATAATATGACGTAATGTGACGTTTTACAATTATTATTAGTATCTATGTACTACCGTTGAAGGATTACAAAAGAATAGATTTTTCAAATACATTTGTAGAAGAATATTAATCTATACTTAATTAATTGTGAAAATAAAAACTTTATATTTTTACTGAGATCAAAAAAATAAAATTAAAACCATTAGATTGAAATAATTATAAAATGACATCGGTTTAAATTTAATTAGAAAAAATGTCTATAAAAACAAATAAATGTTTTTTGTTTAAATTATAATATATTAATTTTATTGGGAATGTACTTAAGTTATTTTTTTTTATGTTATTTGAACTAAATCCATTTGTATGTAGGTACCATCCGTTGATAAAATCGTTTTATAGAAAACGTGATGTAGATAAAAGATATATTAAAATATAAGCTTATTCATTATTTTATGCAAATTTGGAATATTTTCGAAAGGAAAATTAAAATTCAATTTATTCTAGATAAAAGTTTGGTTATTTATCTTAATACACTCATAAGTTGATAAGTACATAAAGAAAATTCCATGTAGTTTTTGCATAATCATAGTCTAGAAGTATATTGATTGAATTAAATCAAATAAAATATAATATCATACAACTGTATGAAATATGTATAAATTACAATACATTACATCTATATTAAATTTACCCAATAATACCGAAATTTTTTATTTTTTTGTTTAAATTTATTTTGCAGTAAAATTAGTTAATTATAAATTATAAATTATTTAATTATAAAATTAAAAGTTAAATATAAAATTAGCTTCTCTAATTTTTCCACGGTATGTGTATGAATAATTATAATTGGTTAAAACAAAATTGTTGTACAATTTTCTTTAGTAGGGGGTTCAAGTGTGGATACCCCCTACTAAAGAAAATATCGATGATGATGTAAACCAATTCTCAAAACTCATCACTGACACTGCAAAAATATCCATAGGACTAGCCAACAACAAACCAAAACGACCTCGGGTTCCATGGTGAAACAACGAAATAAAAACATCTATTATAAATAAAAACAAATCCCTTAAAAAATACCAAAACACACACAGCTTAAATGACTTCGTAGAATTAAAACGAAATAGAGAGCGCACTAGATTTTTAGTTAAACTCAGTAAAGCCACATCCTGGAAAACCTTCACATCTAGCTTAGATAACCAGACTGATCCCTCAGTAGTGTGAAGTAAAATAAAATCCCTCAAAGGAACCAACCGACATAGCAATATTCAACTTATATACAACTCTAAACTCATATCGACACGAAAGGAAGTGGTAAATTCTATTGGAGAATATTTTCAAAAAAATTCAAGCAATTCCAACTACGATGACGAATTCCTAATAAATCGCCATCGATACTACTCTCCACCAAACACAATCGACCCTAATGATACCACACAAATCCTAATTAACTCTCAAATAACCATGGATGAATTGGAAATGGTATTGAGAACCAACAAAAGTAAAAGCCCTGGACCAGATTGCATCCCTTATATTTTTATCCAAAATCTACTCTTCAATGGTATCAAATACCTACTTGACATCTTTAACACTATATGGGTTAATAACGTATTCCCAAAACACTGGAGACACGGTTTTGTGATCCCAATCCTCAAGCCCAATAAGAATAAATATCTCACCGAAAGCTATCGCCCCATCACTTTACTTAGCACACTATGTAAGCTACTTGAAAAAATCATTAATCGTCGACTCATCTGGTTCCTTGAAAAAATTAAATACATATCTCCCGAACAAAATGGCTTCAGACAAAATAGAAGCACTCAAAACAATCTCCTAAGTATTAAAAGAGAAATCGAAATAGCTAATAGCAACAAACAAAGTTTAGGCATGATCAGCTTCGATATTGCCAAGGCCTACAACACCACTTGGAGACCAAGAATATTGTACATACTTAACAAAATAGTAAGTAAAGGGAACCTACTTAACTTCATCCAAAACCTATTACTTGAACGTTCATTCCAAGTTAAATCATCCAACTGCTTATCTGATACATACACACAAGAAAATGGAGTTCCTCAGGGTTCTTCAATTTCCGTAACCCTTTTTCTGCTAGCCATTAATGACATTTCCAAGCAAACACCAAAACCAATCATTCCCATACTGTACGCTGATGATTTCTCCATTTTATGTCGTAGCAGCAGTCTAATAACAATAAAACAAATCCTACAAGATGCCACAAACTCACTAAGAAATTGGTCAAATTCATCTGGGTTTAGATTTTCAGCTGAAAAAACTAAACTCATTATATTCAACAACAAAAACAAAAATAAAATGTCAATTAGTTTGGGCAACCATATAATTAAAAATGACAAATATATTAAGATCCTCGGTATAATTTTTGATTCAAAATGTTCATGGGCACCTCACATCCGACATCTAAAACAAGCTTGCACCAATCGTCTTAATATAATCAAAATGCTATCTCATACCTCATGGGGAGCCCATTCCTCTGTACTTCTCAAGATCCACAAATCACTAATTTTGTCCAAAATAGATTATGGATCTCCTCTATTCTCGTCAGCAATCCAATGCCACCTTAAAAAGCTCGAAAATCTTCACAACTCAGGAATGCGCCTGGCAATAGGAGCTTTCCGATCCAGCCCTATAGACAGCATATCCAATATAGCAGGAATACCCTCCCTATCACTAAGATAGGCTGAGCAAAAATCACTACTGGCAGCCAGAATCCATAGATCCCCACAAGGAATCTCCACATCTCCCAATAATCTATTCACAAATTTACAATACAAATTGAACCTAGATCAGATCATACCATCAACTATCAGCCTTCAGCCACCTTGGACAATCTCCCTAGATATCAATCTCGAACTACATCAGCTCCCCAAAAAGGACACTAATCCTAAAATATATAAATACCACTTTAATGAAATCATAGCCAATGCCGAACCTCATATACAGATATACACAGACGCATCCATAACAGATCAAAGAGTTGGGGTTGCAATCATATGTGGTGACACTGAAATCCAACTTAAACTATCTGACAAATGTTCAATATATACCGCTGAAGCCATGGCTATACTAGAAGCAATCAAATATTTCATACAATCCGTCGATGATAAACGCTGTATCATACTAAGCGATTCACTCAGTGCAATAACAAGCCTCAAAAATATAAATAACCCTACCGATATAGCTAGAAATATTCACAACTTTTGTCACATTGCATGTTCTGCCGGGAAACACATATCCTTCATGTGGATTCCAGAACATTGCAATATAACAGGAAATGAAAAAGCCGACGAGGTCGCAAAACTTTCACACATATCACCCAAAGCTATCAATGTACCAGGATTCACCTACAGCGACGCAAAAAAATATATAAAAAATCTTTATGCCATAAAGTGGCAACGATATTGGTCAAATCAATCAACCAAACTCAATGAAATTAAAAAATCAATTCTCCCATGGCCTCCTACTCCCGGTTGTTCTAGACGACAAGAAACAATTTTAAACCGCCTAAGAATAGGCCATACATTACTAACCCACCGCCACCTTATGACAAGAGAGGATCCCCCCAACTGTACTACCTGCGGTGTCCAACTCACCATCAAGCACATCTTCACAGAATGCAGAAATAACCAGCAAGAACGTATGATAACCCTTGGAGCCACCCACTTATATGAAATCTTCAGCCCGGAACCAACCGCAACTCAAAAACTATTTATTTTCCTAAAAAAATCTACCCTATTCAATGAAATATAACTTTATATTGTATAAAATCATGTAAATATGTAACTATGTAATTTATTTAAGTCACTGTCTGACCAATGGCCATAGCTGCCGCGGTCTTTTTGTTCTTTTAATAAAAAAAAAAAAAAATTGTTGTACAGTTATGTTTTTAATTAATTGTAATCGTCGATTGATATAATTTTTAAAACAATTACATTCATTACATACTAAGCAGAATGCACATAATTATTTCATAATATTTGAATGCATTTATATTTTCAAATGGTTTAATTCAAACATTTCAGATTTTTAAATAATTTTTTGATGATAGATGATTTTTAAATTTCAAATATTATAAATACCAATTATATTTTTAGTTTTAAATTTTATTATTCTGATGGCTTTCTTCTCTTATGATTTATTATAATTTTAATTTTTTGTATGAATATTAATTTATAAACTAAAAATTATAATTTATCAAGGTATGGACAAGTAGCATGAAACACATGCACATACAAAGTTTAACCAACCGATGTCATGATAAACTCATTGTAATGTAAAGCGTCAGAACTTCTAGTCCTTTTCTGCGTACTTATAAAGATCATTGATTTATTTTAAGATTCACAGAAAAATATTATAACTACACTAATCCATATTCGAAAACACCGGATGTTTTAAAAGTTGATAAATATAGGTGATTAGTCTCACGAAACCGAGACTGAATAGAAATTATGAACAATTTAAATGCAATATTTTTTTATCCTAGTGGGTTTTGGTTTTCAATACACCTGTCCACCTGTCCTCCGAATAATATCTGTCGCATTACTTCCCTATTTTCTGATATTTATCACCATTGGGTGTACAGTTTTATACAACTTAATATAATGAAATATTTTTTTGAAGCGTGACATACCGCAATCGGATCTTTCTTAATAACCCTTTTTATCGATGTGCTTTTATTCAGTTATTACTTACATTATTTTTTGTCATATAATTTTTACACCAATCCTACACGCCTACCTATCATCGTGTTAGTTTTCTAGAATGTTAATTCATATAACTTCTATGATTTATTTTCCAATAGATCTATGTCACGAATATGCATTCATATAGATCGGTTTTAAAATAACTTGTTAAATTAGATAAAATTTATAAGGTATACTACTATTATTTGGTATATTAACTGTATGCAATAGAATATTGTTGGATAATCTAACAAATAAAAAGTAATAAGAAAATGTTGCAGAAAAAATGCACATATTACAGTCACAGGCGTAGTATTATACGACAAAACTAATGTTAGTGACGAAGAAGTTAATTTGGATTAGTTTGGATTATTAATAGGATTAAAATACAAAATGGGTTTGAATGAATTTATGTTATAAGTGGATAAAAGGTAGGAAAGGTAAACACAGTGATTGACATTGGAATGAAAAGGAATGACACACAAAGTAAATGTGATCGGTTTCGTGGACTGATAAGTGAGTTAGGTTTAGCATATTTTGAAGAATGGTTTGGGGCTGAATTTGTTGGATTTAGATAAGAGGTGAGAGATAGGATAATCCGTAAACGTAGTCGTGTAAAAGATATTAGAATACTCCATGGGAGATTCAACTAGAAAATTCAACGAGAAAGAGAAAAATACGGGACATTTATTTTTATAACGAGAAGCAAAAAAATATCTGAAGCAGATATCTCTGACTTAGTATACGAAGAGCTATGTATCTTTTAAGATAAAGGCATCTATTATATCAGTGGTTTTTATTTTATTATTTTTTTTTTGTATCTAGTTGAAAAGTACACGTCTGTTTAAGGTAAAAGACACCTCGTTGCCAACGGAACTATAAAAGAAAATTTGCGACACGACCAGCAACTGATAAATTCTCAAATGTCACCTAATATTTTTCGGATTAAGGAAGGGATAAAATATTTGAAAGCGTTCTTATGCAGAGTATAGGAAAAATATCCTAGTTGAACTGTATAAATGTCAGAGGTCTACGTAAAAAAAAAGAATGTCCAACAATTGTATTTTTCACATATACTATCTGCAAAATATCTAATTCATATTATTATTACTAACGTATAAAACCTTTAGAATAATATAAACATGTGGTACTAATAACTAGGTATACACGAGTATAACTACTTCACCTAATAAGGGTTTTACATTAATGAGTTTCCTACATTATGGAACTATTATATAGACGAACTTTAGCATTATGAAATAATTTCAGAATACTATACCTATTATAGTTGTACTTTTATGGATATTATTTTACTGTAATATTACACCATCGATATGTTTTTATTGTTTCGAAAAAAAGCAGTAATGGTTTTATTGAGTCTTATTGAGTAAATGAAACCACATAACATTTTTAAAATTTTATTCGATTAAATATTACTCATTCATAAATAAGAAATAAAGTTAATAATATCATTTAAGTCATTAAAACAGATAGACAAATATAGTTTTGTTCTGAAATAAATTATCTGTGTATTGATAGAAACAAGAAATAAAGTTTTTTTTCTTGTACAATTACTTTTGTACGTTATAAAAAAATACCAGCAGTATAATTTATGGTGAACATTTTTCCAGACTTAATACGAATGAAATTAATTATATTTAACAAGTTTGTACTAACAATTTTTGGTACACAGTTGTTAAAAATAATTAATACAATCATTTTACTCGTTTCCAGTGTCGTTTGTCGAAGTAAATACATTAAAAGTAAATTTTTTTATTTATTTTTAATGAAATAATTATAACCTTAAAACAACAAGGTGTTAAATGGCCAGTAAAATATACGTTTAATGAATAAAATACTATATATTACCATGTACTCATAATATATTACTCATGAACACGGATTCGTCGCTAATAATTACAGAGTCTATCGCAATAAACGTTCGTATGACCTTATAAGTATATATTGTGAGTATTGTTTTGTACCAAATGTTCATGTTTGAAGCAAGTTTTTCCCAATTTGGATTTGATAACAAGGGATCAATCAAACTCTTCTCTACGATGGTTTTGTTAAGCGCCTTTGCATTGGCGTAGTAGATTATATACCTGTTATTATTTTATTACCCAAAAACAAGAAATACTTTGTCACTCACAACATGATTTTGATTAGAATTTCCAAACAAATTAACCCTGGTTATACTCGTTGGAAACTTTATAAACTTATAATAATATTGTCATCGCTTACCGAAATGCAACGCATACTCTGAGCTAGAATGTGCGTTGTGATTAATTCAAGAACAATAACAATTAATGAATTATGCGGTGTTAAACAACGTTCATCGTTATAACATTATTCGTTAGCACTTATGTATTACGGTCTACAACATATCCGCAGAAAAAGCGAGATACGTTTAACCGTCAAATTTCAGTGTACATATTTTTTTTGAACGTAGAACATAAAGAAATCGGATGAATAGAAACGCTTTCTGCGTCGAACATAATTTTGGTTTTTTCTGAGAACTTAACAGGTGAATAATATTATGATGTTATTATCAATAAATGGTTGGCTTGACATTAAAACGTACAACGATCGTGATCACAAAAAACAAAACTACGTTTTTAGTATGAAGGGGAAAACGGTTCATTATATTTCATGATTGAATGTAGAGCGTTATAAATACATATATTTTTATACATTTGCACACCGCTGTACGTATTGCATTCGGTAACCGACGTATTTTTTGTGATTTTGACGATTAAAAGAAAACTGCAAGGTTTGCATGAGGTTACACGGCAGAATCATTACGACGGATTTTCGTAATCTGTACGGTATGAATATAACGTTTAGAAGCGATTCAAGGAGGAGGGGTTTCGGGAGGTCAGCTGACTCACAGTTAAAAGTTGTCTTTAACTGTGGATCCGCCCTGATAACGTTCGAATTTTTCGATACATTATGCATTATTTATATATCAATTTATTTTAGACACTACGCGTTCGGCTATATAAAGTTGATTTAACAACATCTGCAGTATTGACCACGTGTAATGTAAATTATAAGTACATTAAAAACCCTAATTTTAGCGAAATATGAAAGCGTATCGTTCAAATAAATCATTATAAATTTCACGCATATAAAAAGGTATTAAATATGTTTTAGGTTGTACGGTTTGTAAACATAAAAATGTACGTTCATTTAATTATTTACATAATATGTTTACACGATACTCAGGTACCTAAGTGAATAGCAATAAATAAAAATGGTAAATATATTGGTAACATGTATTTTAGAGTTATAATAATTTTATGTTTACGGACCACGGATAGCATATTATACATTTTAAGACGTATTTAATATTTCCACGCATAAAAAAGTTTATTGATTAATCTAATTTAATGATTAATAATGCATTTTCAAATTTGGCTAAAAATGTAATGCGATTATTTTCTTTACACTCTGACGATTTATTCAATTTTCTTGTGTTAACTTGGTGGTTCGAAAATGAACCCATCTTTGTAATTTATCTCCCGAGGTGATTCGAAATTATTTCTTACCAATTCATAGTTTAAATAGTTTAAAGATTTTGTTATACATACTGTTCTCCTGGAATAAAATAGAAATTAACTGATTCCTTGTAATTTATGTCTGTTCTTGGGAATTTTAATTTTTTTGTTTACGATTAGCTATTTACTATTATTTTTTTTTTTTTTGAAAACTTTATGATTGATCTATAAACGTCAGTAATATTATTAAATATTATATCATATAGTAATTTATGCTTTCATCAATCGCAGACAAACTATTATATCGATAGCGGTTTATCTGGAATGACATAAAACGCTAGAATTCAAATTTGAACCCACCGTGTTAGAAATGAGTAAATCTTCGAATTTGAATTATACGTGTTTATGGCTTTTATTATTTTTACATTTATTTTTTATTTACTTATTTATATTTAAATATAAGTTGTATAAATATAAGTGTTTTTTAAATTTGGTTGATTGTTAATATTATTTCTAGCATTGAAAAGTTTGCATCAAGACGATACAACTTTTAACACTAAAATGAAGG